TGTAAACGGGGCTACGGTTCGTAAGTGTTCATTCGGATTAGAAACAAACAAAACAAAGCGTATATATGTATATACATATATAAGTACGTATATATATATATGTACATATACACGATCTATATAGGAGGGAAGTTTCTCGATCGTCGAATCTGTGATTCGGACGTAATAAACGATCGCCGGGTAAAGAATAATTCCACGACGAGAGAGATAGAGGAAAACGTCCAACGAGAAAGAGAGATCGGTGTATAATTCGTGAGTGTGTATTTGTTCCGATTGTTTCACGTTATCGCAACACGATACGCCGTTTTTTATATAGAGTCTCTACCTGTTGCTGTTGTGTTTAAATTTTATTGTTCGCGAGTAAAGGGGGTCGGTTGGACGGATCTGTTTTTCGTCTGTCCTTTGGGGAGCGTGTAAATGTGAGGGGAGAATATATATATATGTGTGTAGGGCGAAAAATACCTCGAGATGCAAAGTGGCAAAATAAAGGAAAAGAAGCAGTATTGGTTGGCCAGTCTATGTTACCTACGAGTTGTTTGAAAAAAAGGAAAGAAAGGAAGGGAAAGCCGAAAGGAGGGGAGGAGGACACCGTTTTAGAATAATTTTTACCAAGCCGGCAGTCGCCACGTAAACACACACACACTTAGATCAATCTTATTTCATATGACGCTTTTGTGTTTTGTACAGTTTCGAGAGAGAACGTATATATATATATATTTCATTCGCTCATTCTTCTCTGGAGTAAGAGGAAGAATAAGAAATAATTAGCGGAAGCCCCCGACGAAAGGGGAAGAGCCTCTCTCAGGTTCGAACGCGGGGGGAAGAAATGGGAAATTTCTCACGGCGGCCGAAAAATATACACGGGGCGGGATTTTCTGTCGCGCTCTCCGCGGACGATTAAAGAGTTGTAACACGATTTACTAAGTATAGATGTGTAGGTAGTGTCTTAAATCTCTTAATTAAAAGGAAAAAAAAAATGCAAAAAACAAGTCGTCATTACAGGTTTAACGTTTTAATCAATAATCGATCGATGATAGAGGGGTAAAGAGGGAGGAGGGAGCTAGGAGGAAAGGATAAAACGATATTTACAGTAACAAAATGAACAAAAAAAAGAAAAAAAGAAAGAAAGAAAAGAAGCTGGGTGGGAAGGAGAAGAATAATAAATATAACGTAATATTAATGAAAACTCTCGCACTCGTGGAGGATATAAAATATTAAAAAGATAACG